TCTCTCTCTCTCTCTCTCTCTCTCTCTCTCTCTCTCTCTCTCTCTCTCTCTCACTATCTTTTGTAATAAGCAATGCACTCTAAATACCTAAATACTATAGTGAATACTATCTCATTATGAATCGATCGGGATGGCATTTATTGGTTTGATGATGAATTGATACTATCTCTAAATACCTAAATACTATCTCATTGTCAATTCTTCATCTAAATGCCTAAATACATAAATATCAATCTAAATACTTAAATATACGACTTCTTCACTCTCTCTTTCTCTCACACTAACTCGACCACTTGCAACCCATTACGATATGGATCGATCGACCATTGTTGAATGGGGTACTCCTACCATATAATCTCATGTCTTATCAAATCGAGCTTGTTACATAAATCCTAGTAAATAGTACCTAAACCTAATTTAAGTGAGTCATATAGAGCAAAGTTCTTGACTGCCATCCCAAGCTCATGGATTTCTAATTGGGCCCATGGTGGGCTCTTCATCTGGCATATTAAGGAAATGGTCCGGTCCGAGTTAAGTATCGTTTGCATGAGCCGGGCTAAATAAGCCCAAATGAGAATTATTAGTTGCTAGGGTTTTAAGAATTTAACAGTCGGTTCGGTTCGGTTCGATTCGGTTCGACCGAACTTTGGGATTATTAGCCGGGCCCAGATTATTAGCCGGGCCCATGCTTTCTTGTAGGCCGCCGGATGATCTTAAAACCCTGCTTCTCCTCTTATGCCCTAACCAGAGCTCGATCGAGGAGAGAGAGAGAGAGTTGCAGCGGCTACAGGAGGACCTCCATGGTTGCGGCGGCGGCAGCAGCAACAGCCATGGGGAAGTCGCAGAGATCTTCTAAGAACTCGGTGTGTTCTTATTCTGACTCCATCTTCTCTCGGTCGACCTCCGGTTCTTCGTTTACCCGTCTTTCTGATCTTTCTGACTCGAATATAGGATCGGTTGGAGCAAGAAATCGCAGAGAATCCGGCTGCAAACGAGGATGTGGAGGAAGCCAGTGGTGGAGATGAGGAATCGCAGCCGAGTGACGCCGCGAGTTTGTCGGAGGATGAGGTGGGGCATCGTTTCCCGCGCAAGAAAAAGGCGAGCAATATTTTGGGAAAAATTCGAACGTCTTGATTGGTTTCGGTCTGTTTGAACTACAGGGTTCTCAGGGATCTCCTGTTGACAGTGAGGAGGAAAACGGGGATGTTAGTGATGATGAGGACCATCGGTCTGGAGAGGAGAGCGATTCTTCTGAGGAGGAGGTAGGTCGCTTATTGCTTCCTTAGGTTCATGTTTTGAAATTTTGTTTCCTTATCAAGTCATTTTCTATTATAAATGTAGGTGCCTTCGAGAAACACGATTGGAGACGTTCCGTTGGAGTGGTATAAGGATGAGGAGCATATTGGGTATGATGTTGCAGGCAAGAAGATCAAGAAGCAGGCTAGAAAGGACAGGATCGAGTCTTTTCTAGCTGGGGTAGATGATGCTAAAAATTGGTGAGCAGATTCCCAACTTAATTATTCTTTTGTCTATATATAACGTGGCCATGTTAGCTAAAGTAAACGCTGCAAATAACTTCTTCCGTTAAAATAGAATACAGTGAGCTTTAATTTGTCAGTTCCTGTTAATTTTAAAACCTCAAGTTTTTGGGCCATCATGATAATTTGGGTCCACTTGTTTATGATTCTTAGCAGAAGATACATAATTCGTCGTTGAATGCATTTTATTTTTAGTATAATTTATTTTTTAAACCAAATATAGGAGAAAGATTTATGATGAATATAACGATGAAGAGGTGGAGTTGACAAAGGAGGAGGTTAAAATTATCGGTAGGATGCTGAAGGGGAAGACTCCACATGCAGGAGTTGATCCATATGCGGTCAGTAATCTTCTCATATTACATTAATTGTAGAATTATCAGTAGAACATTTGTCTTGTGCATACAGAATTACTAACGTGTATGTAATATGTCATGATAATTTACAATTCAGCCTTATGTTGATTGGTTCGTGTGGGATGACAAAGGACATCCACTTTCTAATGCACCAGAGCCAAAGAGGCGTTTTGTTCCTTCTAAGTGGGAACAGAAAAAGGTAATGATCTTTTTCTTAGTGCCTTCTGTACTTTCCTGGAAACAGAACAATTTCTTCTCTTAATGGAATAAAGGAAGTATTCTAAAAATAAAGGAATTTAATATTCTGCTTATTTTAAAATTCAATTTTCTTGCATTATTTTGTAGCTAGTAGAAAATCTTTCTTAGGTAACGATAATGATATACAAGACTGAGCAGAAGAAGCCTCCTATCAAAGGGTTTAAATTTGTTTGAGAATTTTAAAAATAACATTTTTATTCTTTAAAATGATAAGGAATTGTTCTGAAATTGATCCAGCACTATATGAATTTTGGAACAAAGAAAAGTCCCTTGGAGTTAGTATTACAATTCATATAAAATTTATGATCATTCAGGTTTCTGTGTCCCCTATGGAAGGGAATGTAGAAGTTCATTTTGTCAACTTTGTCAATTATCAATTATATTTTTTTTCTTAACTATGATATAAAATCAATTAACCACTTTTTTTTGGGTTCTATCATTCTGGTATCAGGTGGTTCAATATGTTCGAGCCATTCGTAAGGGCCTTATTAAGTTTGACAAACCGAAGGAGGAACCTCGCGTTTACTTATTATGGGGTGATGATTCTAGTGCTGCAGAAAACAAGAGGCATGGTTTGAGTTATATTCCAGCACCTAAACCAAAACTGGCAGGTACTGGAGTTTACTCTTCTTTAAGTTGTAAAATGAGCATGTTGAGCCCCTATTTTGAGTAGGCTGCATTCCTATACTGCATGAGGTTGGAATTCCTTCATTGCTCAAAATATTTTTATTTGGATTTGCCTACATTCTTTAAGTGTATATAAGGCGTACCGCAAAAGACGTGCACATGCTTGCATATGTTGTGACAATGCTTATGTAGGTTAGCTCTTGAATTTTTAGAATCAAATGCTGCACGATGGTTATTGATAAATAGAGTATTTGAGTTCCTCATCCTGCTAAAATCTTTAATGCTCTTTGGTAATGGGGGTTGCTTTACGTCTTTTCACTTTTAGGTCATGAAGAATCATATAATCCTTCTGTGGAGTACATCCCTACCCAGGAGGAGATTAACTCTTACCAGCTGATGTATGAGGAAGACCGTCCTAAGTTTATTCCTAGAAGGTACTTGTGGGTCTTGTAGCAGGTAGTTATTTTTTTCAGTTTAGATTAAATTCTGGTGTTACAATTGATGAACTTTTTACAGGTTTGAGTCGCTTCGAAGTGTGCCGGCATATGAGAAAGCACTTAAAGAGAACTTTGATAGATGTCTAGACCTATATTTGTGCCCTCGAACCCGGAAGAAACGTGTATGTGTCTCTTTTATTATGTAAAAAAGTCACTGAACATGATATTTATTTGTTCTAACTATTTCTCATGTTCCTAAATGGAATCAAGCGTGCAAGATAATTTTTTGCTTGTGATGTCCTTTCTCCTATTCAATACTTTTTTGAGTTTTCTTTGAACTTCATTGTCAAAACTGACATCAATTTACTGTTTCACAGATTAACATAGATCCTGAGTCTCTAAAACCCAAGTTACCCAGTCGGAAAGATTTGAGGCCTTATCCAAGAACATGCTATCTCGAGTACAGAGGACATACAGGTCCTGTGAAGACGATTTCAATTGATGTATCGGGGCAGTGGATGGCATCTGGTTTGTGGTGAAATGTTCTTTGATTTACTTTGATTCTCATTTGTTGAAGGTTGTTAGTTTCTTGTAGTACACTATGGCATTTTTCTCATATTCAATTTACGTTGTATTAATGATTGGCTTTACTATTCTGAAGGTTCATCGGATGGAACGGTGCGTGTTTGGGAGATCGAAACCAGTCGCTGTCTTAGAGTTTGGAATGTTGGTGAAGCTATCAAGCATATTTCATGGAACCCATTGCCTGAACTTCCTGTCCTGGCAATTTCTGCGTAATCTATGTGCCCTTTTTCAACCAGTAAACTTGATTGTCATAGATCATTTGCTTCCCTCTAACATACACTTCCAATTTTGTTAATTAGGGGACATGACGTGCTTATCTTAGATACTGGATTGGGAAATGCAGAAGAGCAGGCGAGGATCAAGGAGCTGCTTCATGTGGAGGAATCAAAACCGGAGGAGGATGGTGATCAGTGAATTTGTGTTTATGTTATGTTTTAGTTTCTATGCAAGTTACATGACACTAGGCTTGATGATTTAGGAAGCACACCTGTTGTGAGTTGGGTCCAAGATGACAAGTATGACTGCATCAGATTAAAGCATCTTAAGGTAATTTATTGTCTTTATTAGTTTGTACTGTCTGAAAATAATTCTGTTACTGGTAGGGTTCATGTTAGTACCATGTTAACACTCCTGTTCTGTTTTTCTGCTTTTCAGGCTGTGACAACAGTTGAATGGCATCGCAAAGGCGACTATTTTACTACAGTTGTGCCTAGTGATATCCTTATTATGCATCTTCTTCATCTTTTGTTTATTTACTGCTTTTGATTAAATTCAGTTCTTTGTATTTTTGGTTGATATGCTCCCTTAAATTACATGTTTTAGAAAAATCATGAACTTATATTTGACATTTTCGCTAGGCCTGCATGTGGGCTTGGTCAGAAACATCATTTATTCTTGGTTTATTCCATGAAAAAATTAGACTTGTGCTACGCCATTGTGAGCTGGCTGTTGTATGCAGTCAAAAGAAACTCGATAAGAAGAGGCCACAAAAGATGAGGTGGCTGTTTGATCTATTTAATGAGTCCTAGCTGATTCTTTGGAATGTTTGGACTTCAATTAACAAATGGTTAGATCTCATAAAAGCATTTGAGTATTATTGAGATCTTAAGTGAATATTTCAATTTGCAGAAAAGGATTGCTATATCAGAAATTTAGGTGAAAGCTGTTCTTGTAAACCTGCTATTCAAGACAAATCTCGTATATTTTCTTGTTTCCCAATTGATAAGCATGACTACATGGGCGTATAAGAATGGTTTCCCATCGCACAAGGCTCTCGCTAATGTGGGTAGGGTCAGTGTCTGGAATCGATGTTTACAAGTAGAGAGGCCGTCTTTGAGTCAAACCTGTCACTAGGGTGATAAAGAACAAACCTTATCATAGAATCACTTATGACCATGTTGAACATAATCCTATAGCTGGCTAAACTGTTTTCATGGTTGCATATGTTTTATCGTCAATTGGTATCCTTGACTTGTTGTGCACGTGATTCTAGAGCAATATTGATACACCAACTCTCCAAGAAGCATACACAAAATCCATTCAAGAAATTGCATGGGCTTCCAGTTTCAGCAGTTTTTCATCCAACGCGTTCCATTTTCTTCATATCAACAAAGAAAAATATTCGTGTTTATGATCTTTTGAAGCAGAAGCTTGTTAAGAAGCTTGAGACTGGCGTTCGTGAGATTTCCTCCATTGCAATTCATCCTGGAGGTAAGTATTCAGTTACATTTTGCCGAGTATGTTTTCCTGAGCAAATTGGAATCAATGAGTTCATCAAGTTTTTGTGTGACTAACTAAAAACCTTTTAGGTGATAATGTTATTGTGGGGAGCAAGGATGGAAAAATGTGCTGGTTTGATATGGATCTATCGTCTAAATCATACAAGACCTTGAAGTATGTTCAAACTTTTGGGTTTTCTCATCTCTTTCATTCTACAATTTATTCTTCTTTCTAGATGATAGTGCATTTTTATAGATTTGGAATGCATATCTTTGGACATGGATGTTGGAAACATGGTTTTGCTTGCAACCTATTATTTGTATGTATACATATTTGAATATCATGTAACAGATTTATTATAGCACAGTACTCATGAATGTCTGTGCATTGAGGTTAGTTTGACCATTGGTTCTTAATGACCTGATTGGCATTCAAGCAAAGAAGATTAAGGACCTGAAATTCTGGAATAAAATCAATACTGCAGCTGCAACCTTGATTATTACATAAAATTTTTGGTGTACTGTTTCAGTTTCTTCTGTCTGCTGTAACTTCAGTAGCCAAATGACCAAAATAAAAAAAAGTTAAACTTTTTTCATCAGTATAAATGTCTGAATCTATTTGAAATGAACTGAGATCTCACATCATTTCCATAAATTTATATTTTGTATACATTATTCTTGATTGTCTTGTGAAACTCATAATACCTGTTGTACATGTTATTGTTGTTATGATGTATATTATCACATCTTGCATGCTTGTTTTTGGATCGATTAGTGCAGAAATGAACCAAAGATACATTACCCGGTCGACAGTGGTGGTTGTTCGTGGCTTCATTGTATGTTGTTACCTCTTCCATTTTTTATTTTAGTATAAATTAACACAAAAAAATTCGTTGAAAAATACATTACTTGATTGACAATAAAAGAAGCTTCCGGTCTTACCTCAATAAGTAGAAAATCTGTTTCCACGTCTGGTACTACTTATTTAGGTTGTCATGGAGTGATCCTTTCCGCTGATCCTCATTATTATTTTCTGAAATTGTCACTTTCCAATTTTTTGACATTTTATCATTATTTTGGTTAGCTATTTGTACTTGGCTACTTGCATCCTCCCTAAATTTTTCATATTATAACAATTGCACCATTTCTGATCTAAAAATCTACAGGACCCACCCAAAAGATATAACAAACGTTGCCTTTCATCGTTCCTACCCTCTTTTTGCCTCGTGCTCCGATGACTGCACTGCATATGTCTTTCATGGCATGGTGTACTCGGATCTTAACCAGAATCCACTCATTGTCCCATTGGAAATTTTGCGTGGCCATACAAGCTCTGATGGTAGAGGTCAGTGTTATGTTGGAACTTGTTTTTATATTTCATTAACTAAATTTCTATTCATAAGAAAAAAAAAACTAAAGTTGCATGTAGTACAAGCAGCTTTATCATCTCTCTATTAGTAGGTGTGTTTGGACTAAAATCAACTGCTAAGCTTTTTGACCATGCAGGAGTGTTGGATTGCAAGTTTCATCCAAGGCAGCCATGGTTATTCACTGCTGGTGCCGATTCAATTATCAAACTTTATTGTCATTAACATGCGAGATAATGCAAGATCATGGGAAGAAACTACAGCAGTCGAGTTGAGAAAAAGGGAAGCAAACATGGATCAATCAGTTTTTATTTAGATGATAGAACATGATCTTCCATAGAACTTAAACCAGTGTTCTTGGAGTTCATGTTCTTCCGGAATTCGACCCCATCTTTGTTTTTTCAACTCAATTTTTGCTCTCCATTTGTCTTTAAGAGTGCCCAACTATATCTGTTAAATTAGATGATACGAGATGTTATCCCCAAAGGATCACCATCATGTTGGATGTGAAACACTAATGTAATCTTAATCCTACCACCTATTTATGCATTCGATTTGTATGACAAATGGTGTAAATGAGTCTAAGAAGTTGATGAAACCACTCCCAATTGTTTTTGCCATTGTTGTCTTCGGTGGTTATATATTCTTTGAACGTCTTGTCCTGTCAAAAGATTTCCATTTGCTATTTGAGTGAGTATAGTAAGTATCAATACAGAGATAAACATGTATTCTCATCATTAACAGATGTTGATGATTCTAAGATGCTATTAATCATTTTAAGAGATGTCCTCCTGATGAGCTACTACAAAATGTGTCCTAATCAGTCCTCTGTTAAATTGAGATTTTATTTCTTACCTAACTATCAGATTGATAAGAATGTTGTTTGATGACCACATAAACTATATAATTAGACATTTTATAGTTTAAACCCACTTTACTAAATATGGTGGTGTATTAAAAGGCAGTTGAAAGAACTCCATAGCCTTGCGATTCAATGATGCTTAAAACATTTGATTATAGATTATATATAAATACACTACTCCTTTGTTCCTTTTAATCAAAGCAACAAAGGCATTCTTTTACATCCAATGGCAGAATTGCGTGTTTATTGTCGTTTATGAGACACACGGCTCCCTAACTTGATGTAGGGACTAACTAATTCGGGACCTAAAGGAAGCTTAAAGATTTGAGTTCAAAGTGGTCTCAGCTGTATGCATTGCCTACATATAACTCCATGCGTTTCTAATAATTACTTGGCAACCCCAGTCTTTGATGCTTATGTTGTTTGTCTTTGGACCCACTCAACCGTCGCCGCTCCTACACTGCTCGACCACCGCCCGCTCAACCATCACACCGACTCGCCCATCGCTTTTACCTACTGCATAATTGGGCGCAGTCATTGTGATGCTCGAGGAGGCTGGTTGGTGAATTCTGAAGCTTCTCGAGATTGCCAAGGGCGGAGTGGACGACGACAAAAGTGCATCTGATCGATAATGGAGGGTTAGGGGAGCTTTTCGTTGCGCGTGAGGACGGCGATCTTGAAGTCTTGCAAGCAGGTGGGGTAACACGTAATTACCGCTGAGCATCCTCGCTGGATTTGAGAGCTAGTTACCTTTCCATACAAGGAGAGTGGGCAGAGCCAACCAATTAAGTTTAGTCCCTTCGAATCTAAATCTACTTTGCCCATCGAGAAAGGTTGATCAAAGCAGCAGAGAGATGAGAAGCGGATAAACCATGCCATCAAGTATGCCTCAGAGGCTGCGTTGCATGGAGGCCTCCCCTCACTGTTGCTCTTTCTTGGGTTCCACTCCACCAAATCTCTCACATCCCGGTTCTATCGAGCTGGTCGTTTCCTGCCCTCATGATTTCTTGGTCTTGCTTGGCGTTCTTGGCTGTTTTGGCATGGTTTTGGTGAGGAGTCCACCTTTGGTCGCTCTTTGGAAAGATCGGATCTTGTTGAAGCTTTGGTCGACTGAGTTCTTCAGCTTAAATATTTTGATTAGGATTTTTTGATGTTCCAGTGGGAAAGATTATATCTTTTGGCACAAAGATGGCTTCTTGGAACTGATTTCGATCTATTTCAGATGTTCTATGCTTCCGAATCTGATTCGCTTCTTCCCGTACTGTTGTGACCTCAAATTCTAGCAAAGGATGAAATGGTGGTCTTGATCTGAACAATGCTGAATCCTCTCCCAAGTGAGAAACAAGCAGATGGAAGAGATGGCTACTTGGTCACATCTGGTTGTTTCCTCGAAGGCAATTCATTCTTATCATCATGTAACATTACAATGATAGTGAAAGTCCTGCATGCTATGGTGATTGTGGATGTTTGTTTACTGACTGATTGCTGTGCAAAATGTTGAGTCCATTATTTTTCAGATACGTTTGATCTCTGTAGAAACAGATCATGAAGATTTCAGTGGGAATTTCCCGGTGGTAACTTGATTTTATGTTACTTATTCTGTATTTAGATTGTACTTTCCATGGCTACTTTCAAGAGTTTGTGAAAGCAACTGCTGTCTGTCACTCCAAAATCAGTGTTGTTGGAGATCTAATATCTCATCAAGCATCTACAGAGAGAAATTACAATCGATCAATTTAGTTTATTATTCCCAAGAAGGTAAGATTTGGTAAACATTCTAAAACAGATGATGACGACTTTGTGGAGGTTGAATTCGTAGCAAATGTGTAGACATTGCATCAGGTAAATGCTAGGAAAAAGATTCATTCTAAAAGAAACAAAGTTATGATTTAATGGTGACTCGAGTACAGATGATGATGGCATTACACTTTACAAGTACCTAAAGATCATTCGGTAACCAATTCCTGTATTTATAGTCAATCAAAGAATACTCGACAAAGATTTTTCGAATGTAGAAACTAGTTGTTCTCACCTGTTTGATTCAAACTCATGAGCCAACACCGTTGATGCCAAAATAGAGAGTCTTCCGCTGGAAGGCATTGATTGCATAGTCAACCCGAATCTGTCCCAAATGCGAGTTGAAGCGAACACCGTATCCAAGACCGACCCCAAAGCCAGGTTTCCCTTGTCTAAGGGCAGGGTTACCTGCAAATGCATTCAAATGGAATCGTTAATGCACTAGACTATGCATATTTAGTAGTGTCACTTTAAGTTTCCATAAGATGACACTAAGGAAATTTGATATAATGGAAAATGAGAAAAAAGTTGGACTTTTGCCGATACGAAGACTGATGAGAGTACAGAAACGAAAGATTGGGGAGACGAGAACATTGTGATTTGCATAATGGCAAGATTCATTTAAGGATGAAATGGCACAGGAACAACCCAAGTAAAATTCCAGTCTTACAATCAAATCCTTTTGTGAACAGTGAATACCCAGATTAATTCTCTGAATTGTCCTACTCCGATCAGCCTTTACCTCTTTACACGATTAAGTTCCATCGATCTATGACTTTCCTAAGCAAACATTTTTTTACTCAGTTATGGTTCCATCTGATTTGACCACACCTTGGCCATCAGGCTAGAGACTGATTGGACCGTGTATCAGTATTAAGGAAGATAGACCAACAAAATCACTTTAGAACATCTTAACAATTTCTTAAAATGCCCAAGGTACACTTTTCCAGGACAACTTCAGAATGCTTTGGGAGGGATTCAGGTCCACTGCTACGATGTGTGACCATTATGGGATTCTTATGTTGTATTTAAATGCACAGTTTGTCACAAAAATAATGGATATACCTGAGTGCATAAAATCAATTTTTGAGCAAGAAAAGCTATTGAAAGGGTGGAACCTCACCAGGAACATACCGAGCAGATCCTAGATCAGTTCCACAGTCCATGAAGATGGCGCCTTCCAATTCCTTTGTCTATCACAGATGAAACAAACAGTGTTTATGTTAAGTGCTTTGTTTATAAAAAAATAACGATGGTCCAAGAGACATGAAACTACTTATTTGATAACATCACAGCGCAATAAGATATCACCATCCAGACATATGGAAAAAAATATTAGCATCAACTATCATAACAAGGAAACATGCTTATTGCTAAATTGTGTAAAGTTGTATAGCCAAGAATCCCTTCCAGCATAAGAAAGAGAACCAAAAAGGAGGTTCTAGAAGTTAGATCCTGAAGAAAATCACTATAGTAATCTTGCAACTATACAATTCGAGAAAACCTAGGTTAACCCCAGATTTGTTGGCCTTGCCAGCATTTGTCAGGTTCGGCCATGGACTCAGAGAACCAACAACCTTGGCTACGCTCTTGGACTCTGCAACCATTGCAGGGGTCATTAAGCCCCCTGTGCAATGCAGGCAAATATAATTTACTGAAGAATCACTAGTACACACCATCATGAGTCTCCACATGCATGTACCCAACTTCATTGCCTGTTCATGCACACACCCATATGTTTGACCATCTCACTTAACCGGCTCCATCGACAGCAAGCCAACTTTAACAGCTTCAATAAGTTAATCTGACACTTCAAATTGGACTAGGGAAGCACAATTGGGAGCCTTGTTTGATCCTGGATTGCACCAAGGCGAGAGAAGAGATGAAGTCCCTTCCCTTCCGAACTAGGGGCTGAGAGCCCATAGTCAGCTTGGAATTAGGGGTTGGTAACAGTCTGTAGTTGCCCAGACCTGTAAGGCTGAGCTGGCAATCAAGATTTTAAAAGACCCCATAGAGAAGTATTTGGCCAAAGAAAACCAGGGTATTTTGGTATTAATTTAGAGTAAGTCTGATACGGTCAGAAATTAGGCAATAATAACTTCTATGAAAATCACTGCAGGTATCTTTGGCACATCTTCTTGCTATTTATCACAGCAATATTTTATTTTCCCTTATATTAATTTCCTGGAGGCCCTTTCTCTTCCTCTAATAACATTTTATCAGATTAAAGAAACCCCAATCAGATGAGACGGGTCCTAGAGAGGTGTTCTAAACTTGAGGAAGCTTGGGCATGATCCAATCATTGAGCTTTTTAACATCCATGATGATCCAATGCCAAGTTGGTGTTCCCTTCATCTGACCAGATAGAGCCTCAAAATTACTCAGCATGATCAACTCTTCACTTGGTCATCATCAAACTAGGATCATGCCTCGAAACTCACTTTTATCTTTTCAACATCTTAAAAAGCAAAATCAATGATAAAAATCTCACATGAGATACGAACCGCTGAACAGTATATCGTGGCTTGCACAACTATGTAGAGGAAGTGCTGAGGATTCGAGTTATAAAATGTTAGGGAACACATGTTATCTAAAGACTTCCAAGATTGACAGCTATCAATCTAGATAAAAACATCATCAACAGCTTTGGTCAGTTGAGTGGATCAATCTAAAGCATTCTGACATGGATCAACTGACCTACTGTGGATCAACCTACAACTAAGAAAACCTCCTCGAATTTTGCTTCTTCGGGCCTCTAACCTCCACTTACAAGAATCCTCCCCCTAGATTTGATGCACCCAATGAAGATAAGAAGTCTATGTCAACATCTGAATGTAGATTTATGGTACTTTGCAACACTATTGGAAGCATATGCAATATTGTTCCATACTTCTTTATCATCATCTATTAGACAAAACCATGTAGTATAATACTTTATTACATAACATCTTTAGCC